AAGCCCCCCCGCTCACTACAGTGAGGCTGCTATACTGTAGTACATTATGGCACCATACTCGCAAGTTCAGAGACAGCTCCCAACCAAGTTCTAAAACCCAAGACCGAAACCGGTTCAGAATCCTTCATTGCAAGAGAACCCCAGAGAAAGGATCTGCCTTGGTTGCAGTGCATTGGTGGCTGCAGAAAGTACCTGGACTGCCTTAGTGCCTTCAGGTTGTAGACATGACCCAGTAACCTACTGCGGAGGCATCTGCTTTCTTAAAGTAAGGTCTATGCAATACGGAGTAGGCTCGGTGGTCTATAATGTCTAGGGGCCCTAAGCTTAAGAATCACAACAGCGCGAGGCTGTTGGCTACATCTCATATTGCAGCATTGAGAACAGGATGTCTTGGACTTGAACGCCATCGAAGTATGTTGCCCATGTAACCCGTTTCAAACGGTTGGTGCACAACAAGCCGCATGCATCTAGCAAGTATAATGCAGTTTTGATGCATCTCATACAAATGTGGACATTGATGGCGGGGTATCTTTGGAGTATTACTCAGACCCTTGCATTAGTGTTCGGCAGTCGAACATAGAAGCCTAAGTAAATACCTGTACTATTCCTTAGGGTTCCTTATTACGATTATGCGATACAGGAGCCCAAAACCCTGTTCTAAGTATTCAGGCCCCTATACCCTACAGCCTTTATAAGGAACCCTCTAAAGGAGCCCCCAAAACCCTATTCTAAATATTAAGGCCCCTACATTAGGTCTCCAAGGTGCTCCCTTGGTTCTGGGTCTCTCAGGTGCTGCCACCACAGTTGCAGCCGCAGAAGCGCCAGACGTGCACCATCATCACTGGCTGGGGCAAGTCGCGACCCTCTTGGTCCAGCTCTGATATACAAGCAGCTTGGCTTCTGGGTTCGAGGCTTAGGGTTAGGAGTGTAGAGTCTTGGACTCCGCGTTCAGGGTTTTGGGTTTAGGGGTTGGGGTCCCTAAACTCTAAACGCCTAAGAACCTAAACCCTAATCACCAAATCAGTGGGTTTAGGGCTAAGCATTAGGAAAACCAGCCGAAACCCAAAAGCCTTAAACCCTTAAGCCCTATAACCCTAAACCCTTAAACCTTAAGCCCTATAAGCCCATAGTAGTTCCTTTTTGGGGATTACCTAATAGGATCCTAAATATAAGCCGCAACAAGGAACTACTATGGGGCCTATATCATCGGTCCCTAAACCCTAGAACCTAAACCCTAAACCCTAAACCCTTAAACCCTAAACCCTAAGCCATTTCGCTAGGCCTCAGTCACCAAGCTGCTGCGGAGCCACGGGGTGATCGTGGAAAGGCAGCAGACGAATGCGGGGAGGCTCCTACTTCGGCTTAGCCTGCACCTGGGTAGCGATCTTTCAGGGTTAAGGGTTTACGGGTTAAGGGTTGAGGGTTCAGGGTTAAGGGGTTTGGGTTAAGGGTTTAGGGTTTAGGGTTTATAGCGTCTAAGGGATCTATAACCTATAAGGGCTTTTTCATTATACGGACAAGACTTCGCCGGTTCTCCCCCCGCGGCTATAAGGGCTCTTTTAGGGGTTAGGGTTGAATATAGCGGCCTGGATAATTAGAATAGGGTTTGGGCGTATATTGTACTAATTGTAAGTATAATAAGGAATCCACAAAATCCTATTCTAATGATTAAGCCACGCAACTTAGCGATTTGGAAGAATGTCTTGTGTGGGGTTTAAGGTTTTGGTTTAACTTCCGTTGCGATAATGTTTGTTTTAGGGTTTAGCGTTTGGCTCTTGGGTCTAGGTTTTAGGGTTTTGGCTTAAGTTCCTTATGTTGGTGTAATATCGAGCCCTAGTTGTGAGTAGTTGTTCGGTTGAGAGGGGGGGTGCTGTTGAAATCGACACCGAGGCAAGATTTACACGAATTCCTGGCAACGAAAGGGAGGGGAAGAGGCGAAAAAGCAAGAGCGACGAGTTGAGAAGTGGATCGTACATAGTTAAAACTCTAAGCTATAACCCTGATATCCGCGGCTCCTTCCTATAAACGATCCCAAAAACCCCATAAAACCTATCCTTTCCAAGGATGCGTCAAAACCTGAGCCTTAAGCCCTTTCCAGGCTAGGTTTTGAATCTTCATGCCTTCGGCCTGGGCCTATACACCCTAAACCCGAAACAGACCCCAAAATCCTAACCCAAACCCTATTCCTGAAACCCTAAACCGACACCCCAAACCCGAAAACTCAAAAACCCGAACCCTAAACCGTAAGCTCTAAACCCCAACCCTAAACCGTAAGATCTAAACCGTAAGCCCTAAACCGCCGTAAGCTGTAAACCCCAACGCCAAACCGTAAGATCTAAACCGTAAGCTGTACATCCCAACCCTACACCGTGAGATCTAAATCGCAAGCCCTAAGCCGTAAGCAATGAACCCCTGCCCTAAACCGTAAGCTCTAAACCCCAGCCCTAAACCGTAAGATCTAAACCCTAAGCCCTAAACCCCAACCTTCAACCGTAAGATCTAAACCGTGAGCCCTAAACCGTAAGCTCTTGTGTTCCAGACCCTGCGCCTCGCGTTTCATCCTCAGGGTTTCGTACCCAGGTCCAAACCTAGACCCCAATCCCTAAACCCTAAACCTCATAAACCCTAAGTCCCAAACCCCAAAACCCTAAACCCGAAACCCCATAAGCCCTAGATCCTAAACCCCAATCTGGAAGTCGGAATTCCAGAGTGTCAATGTACCTAAGGGCTGCTTTAAGGGGCTCTAGAAGGGTACCATAAGGGTTGAGGGTTTTGGGGTTTTGGGTTTAGGGGTACCATAAGGGTTGAGGGTTTTGGCTGCGTGTGCCCAAATAGAATACTTTGGCCCCCAAGTACCTCTATAAGAACTACATGTAATGCCAAGGTATATACTATTTGAGTACGTCAACCTTAGGGAATATTATCCCTCCGGTTCCTTCATCTACGAATACTGTAAGATGCCTTGTCATGCTTCTTGAAGCCTCTGCCTTACCTGAGCCTTTTTTGGGGGGTACCCTGCTTCTGACTCTACTGACCAGCTACTTACACAGACCCAGGTTGAAAGTGCAAGACAGTGATTTTTAGGTTCATGGAACCACTGGGCACTGGACCAAACCTCCAACCCTAAACCCTAAACCCTAAACCTCCTTGAACCCTAAATCCTAAACCCTAGACCTTGAACCCTAAACCCTAAACCCTAAACCCTAGCCTTTGAATGCTTTGCTGCTATGCTGTGTCTTCGGACAAGCACGTGCGCCCGCGCTTTCTGGTCAGGAGGACCATTGCTCGGATCTGCAGAGTACGGGATCTCTGGGCTTTTGGCTTGATGTCTATTTTGGGGTTTAAGGTTCAGGGTTTAGGGTTTAGGGTTTAGGGTTTAGGGTCTACTTTAAACTACCAAAACCTACCTTTTCTGAGGGTCCCTGTTAGGGTTGCTTTTTTTTTATTACGAACCTTCGAAAAGCCTAGGTTATGGTAGTTTCAGGTCGGCTCAGGCTTTGGGGGCTTCAGTATGGACGTTCAGGGTGTGGGGTTTAGGGTGTAGGGTTTAGGGCTTAGGCGTATAGATCAAAGGCTTGGGCATTCAAGGCGGTAATATAAGGGTCGGAAGAACGGGATCAGGGTTCAGGGTTGCGGGTGGGGCTCCATAGCTGCAATGCATTATACCTTAAAAGCAATACCTGAGGTGAGTAGGTAGTGTCTGACCTAACTTATATACACGGATGCTCAAGTTCCTCCCAGTATATACGGTGGCAGGGGGCTGAATACATTGTAATTTCAACTTGCAATAGTAACCCCCCTTGTACCTCCTAAAGAGCCGTCTGCTGCAATAGACACCGAAAACTTATTCCTATCCTCAACAAGTCTCCCTAAACCCTAAACTCTAAACCCTAAATCCTATAAACCCTAAATCCTAAACTCTAAACCCTAGACCCTAAACTCTAAACCCTAGACCCTAATAGAGGTTGGCTCCACAGGCCTGAATGTTGTATCGTTCCATAAGGCTCCATGTGCCCAAACAGTATGTACTTTTTGTTGCCCCAAAGCGCCCAAGAAGGGTTTAGGGTTTCGGGAGTTTAGGGTTCAGGGTTAGTATGTACTTTGGCCCCAAAGTGCCCAAATAAGGTTTAGGGAGTTTGGGTTAAGGGTTAAGACTTTCGCCCCAAAGTGCCCAAATAGGGTTTAGGGTTTAGACTTTCGCCCCAAAGTGCCCGAATAGGGCTCAGGGTTTAGGGGTTTGTACTCTGGCCCCAAAGTGCCCGAACAGGGACCACTTCAGGGTCGCAGATATACTATTGGGGTGCACAGACCCTAAGGAATGGTGAACTGGCCATCCGAACATAGACGGAAAAACGGCTAACATCATTCTCCAGGGTACCGAATACAGTCGTAGTACAGAAGGTCTATCAAGCTTGGTTGTTAAAATACTATATCCTAAACCCAAATGCAGACCCAACCCAAACTTAAGCTCCTACCAAGCACTTGTCGCCAAAGCCTCCGAGTCCTAAGCCCGAAGCGCAAAACCTTACCTCCTGAACCCCGAACCCTATACCCTTCATGGTTTGGTCTTAGGGATTGAATAGTATGTATAAGAGCGAAAACCCAAACCCTAAAGCTCATATCTTAAACCCTAAATCCTAAACCCTAAACCTTACACCCCTAAATCTCGGGAGGACGCAGCTTCGGCACGTTGGCGCCGCAGCAACTTGTGGCGACTCGTCCACTGTCCTTCTTTGATTTGCCCATGGTTTTCCCAAATTTAGGGTTTAGGGTTTAGGAGTACCCATACAGTAGACTGTAGGGCAGGGTTTCTATATGAGGAATTACTAAACTGATTTAGGGAAGTGTCCCCGATAACAGTGCAAAGCACCCTTTGGGACCTTAAACCCTGAGCCCTAAGCCCTGAACCTTGAAAACCCCCAAAACTGCAAACCCAGGATCATGAAAGCTGCCATGTTTGCTGGATTACCCAGACCTTCGAACATCCCTATGCTTTGAAGTACAATCGAATCCTTAATCTGACTTAAGGAGTATTCCCTACTTAGGGTGCATCGGAAGATCTAGGTACATTGGGCGCATAGGCGGAGCCTCTCAGCCTTTATCCCTCCGGTTGTCCGTAAACCCTCTACATCGCGTGCATATGTCGGGCTTTGGGGGGTGTATGAGTTCCCTAAATACAGTTGAGGATAGAAATCCTGCATTCCGTTTAAGTTATAAGGCCTCTAAACTATGGGAATTATGGTATATTTCTTATTATGGGTAATGCAGGATTTATATCATCAACCGTATGACCCCAAGAAAGGCAATCTGTTTGGGTGAGGGCCTTTACCGTTGTCTGAGCACGTTGCAGTCCATGTTGCAGCAGTGCCTTTGAAGGAACACTATTAAAAGGGACCTAAACCCTAAACCCTAAACTCTAAACCCTAAACCCTAAGCCCTAAAACCCTAAACCCTAAATCCTAAACTTCAGAACCGACCCCGTTCAAACTATGACGGAGCCTATAGAGAAAGCATCCGTGAAGATTTCGGAAAACAGGCGACCCTAGCCCAAAAGGGAAGGATCCCTGTCACAAGGCCCCGACTTCATTTTAGGGTTTAGGGTTTAGGGTTTAGGGTTTAGGGTTTAGGGTTTAGGGGTGGTGTATTCGATAAAGTGGCCACTCAATAATGGCAAAGGTCGTGTGGCATCGTCGTGGTCAGTCTTGTTTGTCCTATCCACTCCGTGCTCTCATCTACATGCCCTTTGCTCTGCATAAAGGATAGTGTAGGGGCCTTAATAATTAGAATAGGGTTTTGGGAATTTCTTATTTACTACTATTTTTAAAACATAGTATGCCCCAAACCCTATTCTAATTATTAGGCCATTTAAGGCCCCTATGTTAGGCTGCTGCTCATGAAAATGACAGCGCGGCGGCCGGTGGTCAAGATTGTCGTGCTAGGGCTGGCGTTGGTGGGGTGCTTATGTGACGATGTTGACGAGGGTGGTCTAAACCCTAAACCCTAAACCCTAAACCCTAAACCCTAAACCCTAAACCCTATGCCGGCAAAGCTTAGACTCTTGGACCTTTGCTTTCAGGACAGGCTCCAGCGGCTTTCCCAGCCAGTCGAGCGGAGTCGTTTGGAGCCTGGGAGGATTTATAGAGAGTATCGTATGGTATATTACAGTATAGTATCGTATATATAGTACAGTATGGTATAGTATAGTGTGTATGTATATATATATATATATAGATGTGTATATATATACAGATACGTATATACCTACATATATATATATATACCTGCTACCGGTCGTGCTGTCTTATTTCCGGTTGTGTACAGAATAACCAGTTACTTATAATAAATACGGGCGTGTGCAAAAATACGGTTGCGATGGTTTTTAAGGTTTTAATGGATGGGTTTAGGGTTTAGGGTTTAGGGTTTAGGGTTTAGGGTTTTGAAGTCGAAGTAGAGCATTCCTGGCTAGATGTTCAGACATAGGATAGAGGATAGAGAAGGTTGGCCCACCCCACCCCCTGAATGCCCTTGAAATAAGGATGGTTCGTTTGGGCTTTGGGGGTTTGGGTCTGGGTCTCGTAGTTGGGGCCGCAAGGGGTTTGGGTTTAGGGTCTCATGGTTGGGGCCACTGAAAGAAAGTTCGGGTCGGGTTTGAGTTAGGGTCTCGTGGTTGGACTTTGGGATGCATCTTTGTGTAGAAGTTCAAAGTTGGGTTTGGGTCATCGTCAGGGTTTACAATTTAAAGGCGTTGGGTTCTGAGGGATTTGTGGTTCGCTTTGATGATGAAGCACAGGTGTTTAGGTCTCAAACCTCTTCCCAAAAGAAGTTGAAAACCCTTCAAACCCAAAGCTAGCCCGAACCTCTTGAAGACACCCCGAAGGGACCCTCCAACAAAGCCAACCCCTCCCCCTTGCTGCCGAAAGTGTTTGCCTGCAGCGGCGCTCGTCCATGCCATGTGCTGGGCACTCAGCCGACGACTTGTCTCCCTAAGCCCTAAACCCTAAACCCTAATTCAGAAGTTAAGGGCTATTGGCTATTGGGTTTTAATGAGACTTATCGTCGGTCTTTGTCCAACTCAACACGTGTGGCCACAAGATACCGCTGGATCGTTCGCAAGCAAAGCAGTTTCGGTGAAACCCTTCGGCTCAACCTGGACACCCTTCCAATGTAGTCCTCGTCCTGGAATGTCGCCCTGCTCAGTGGGTTGAGTATGTTGTCGCACCGCCGAGCCTTGAAAAGCAATTCAAGGCAGACGTGGTGATAACAATGCAGTTTGGGCACCAAGTTAAACCGAAGAGCTCGTGCCTGAAACGACAAATCTGCCGCCTTCTGGTAACAGCGGAGAAAGTGAAGGCCAGCATTTCCTGCAGCCACCGCTTCAGTCTTTGACATCCACAAGGATGCCTCCAGAAGAGTCTTCATGAAGTGCCCCATCGCTGTGCATCCACTGACCACCACCTGATAAATCTTTGTCCTGTCATACAGATCTTTGTTCTTCTGAAGCACCCAGCTTGCAAACTCGACGAGGACAGGAGTATCAGTTGCTTTGCTCCAGTGGCCACATGGGAAAGCAGTATCTGCAGGATAGCCCAACAAGTCCCGTGTCAGCTTCTTGAAGTGGACCTGCTTGTGTGTGCTCTTCAGAAAAGAACGAAAGTCCACGTTCAGGGCATCCAACGCCTCTGGCACCGAAGCCGCATTATAAATGCCAAGTGCCATAACCAGGGCACTGGCACCATAGTCGCGGCCTATACCTAAAAAGTATATGTGCAGGAGGTCCAGTGTAAAAAAAGATGCCTTGTCTTGTACGATGTATGGCAAGTGGTCAAAAAACGGTGCCAAAGCTTCCCAGGGCGGCGGGTTGTTGGGCCCACAAGTTTCCAGCCACTTGGGTTCCAGGCCCAGGTCCTCGAAGTTATAACCAGGCGTGCCCGCATGGCATAACCAGCAGCATCCAGTAAGGGGTCTGGACTTGGGTCCTTCCGGACCCTTTCTGATGTTGAGAAAGGACCTGTTGAGGTGGCCGGCCCTCGCCAGAAACGGAAGGTCGCCCTTCGTGCCCAGCACGACAAACCGCAGAACCCGATCACCAATGTTGTACCCATGGTAAAAAAGCTGCTCCAAGTCCCGAAAGGCCTCAGTCATGAAGTTGTCGAAACGAGAAGGGTGCTCCTTATATATACCCTTGTACAACACCCCGATTAAAAATCGGGTTGTGAAGGAATGGCCTTGGAGGTTGACCCCGGGCTTGCCAGTTCGCAGCATCAGTGGGTTCGACTTGCGGGAGCCCAGGCCCAGTATCGGCTGGAAGGCCACCACCATGAGCTCGTCACGGCAGTAAGTACGGCCGCCGTCGCCGTGTATGTAAAGAGGCACCAGATTGTCAAACTCCAAGAAGTCGTGGAGCCACAAGTCATGGTTCGGCTCCTCTTGTTTGTACTTGCTCCAAAAGTCTCGAAGTCGTGAGGGGCCTCGGGTTTGTTGTAAGTCAGGATTCGAGGGCTAGCATATAATGTAGATCGACACCTCCGAAATTTTGCTTGTTGCTGACGGATATCAGCTCTATTTTGGTTCCAACAACCCAGAAGCTTAGATTGTTTAAAAGGCTTCCCATTACATCCAAGACCTGAAAGGGGGCACTCTTTAATAGTCTTTGGATCGAGAGCTTGATGGATATGGGCATAGGGGTTTCGTGGTTAGAGGTTCCAAGGGCGATTGTCTTGTAATCACATAAGGGTTCTAAGGATTATGTAAGGTTGGGGATGACAGATATTGGGGCACTAGTGGTTTGCTTTGTTCAGACACGGCGCTGCTGGCAACAGAGCCACCCAGCAGTTTGTGCAGGTAGCCCTTCTCAAACAAAGTAGCAACATAATCTGTTGGTCGGAGCATTGGCACAGAGCATGTATCACCCAGGTCAGTATATGTCCACGGCACATTCAGGGTAAGGTCCCACTTTCGAAGCATCGCTTGCAATGATTTCTCAGCATCATTCAAGGGTGCTTTAGCCATATCAGCCAAAGCCGGATTTGCCTCGGTCGCAAAGGCCTTGGCAATGGTCGCCACGTGCTTCGCAGAGGCCTCGGCACAAAGAGAAGGGAATGGATGGCTTAAGATTCAGAGTCAGCTCTTCAGTCCATAACAATCAGGTTGTATGCTGCAAAGCGCTGGTGAAGGAAGCAATGCGGACTGTTTTGGCACATCAGCTTTCTGAACGAAACGAATTGTGATTCTGGCATATGTAATTAAACCATGCATAATCGAATTGGGCACACCCCACTCAGCTAGAATGTTTGTTCAACACAGAGACACTAGTCTCGGACCCACCGGGGCAGGTCAGCTCTGGCAGCAGCACAGTAGCAATGGTACGGAGGATCGAACTTTGCTTCGAAATATCGATTTCGCATTCCCTCCCCACCCAGCTGGACATTGCGACATTGAACTTTGCGCCCATAGATAGCGATGAGAGCACTTTCTAACATCTCGATCGTGGCCAGCTCATTGCTCGTGTGCATAACAAGCATCTTCGTGTAGCCATTGCTTTCGTACAGCTGAAAGCGAGGTGTGCAGTCATGGGTTATTCCGATTTTGAAAATCGCCAAAGACTCTCCACCAGTCTCCCTCCGTAGCTTCTCAACACAATCCTGGCAGTGTCGCAGGACTTTCCCAGCGTGTGTATTCTGGGGTATGCATCTGTAAGATATCCCGTCCGGGACTGCAGTCAACGAGCTTTTCATGATTGGTCCAGTCACTACAGGAGGTGGCGTGGTTTCGATGGCATCTTCGGTTTCAGAGTCGGAGCCCCAGGGAAAAATCACATCGATTGCTCGCTTCTGCCCCATGGCGAGGAACTCCTGAACTGCCTACAATAGGGTGCTAGTCCTCATTAGAACTTGGGTTACCTACGGCTTGTGGGCTAAGGTGGTAAAGCTTCAGTGTAGATAGCATCAAATAAAAAAACACCTGAAGCCACACTTTGAGGTTCAGGGCTCAGGGTATACGGTTTGGGATTTAGGGTTCGGGATCTGGGGCTCATAAAGGGTAATTTTAAGAGGATGTAGGGAACTATTAAGCCCAACAGCCCTATAAGCTTTGTAGAAAGCCTGGGGTCGGCACAGAGCAAAACAACTGCAATGTTGCAGCAATCATGACAATCACAATGCACCCAACTCGAGACTGCAGATCTGGTCAATGTGTGTAACTTCTATGAACAATAGGGTTGACTGCATTCAAACCCGTAAACAACTGGCATTGAGGATTCGGCTCCAGTGGCAAGCGCCTTCGTCAGGGTCTGGGTTTGATGGCTGGCACCATCCTGGACTGTAGGACCTGGCAGCAGGGAGTATGTTCTTGCTACATGGTGATCATTGCTTTTTGTCTGTACAGAACACTACATCTTCATAAGCACAGTTAGCACCATTTTGAGTCATCGATCTCTCCCACACACTGCAAGCTGTCACATGTGGGCCATGTGCAACACAGACGACTGATACCACTGAAGGCCTCCATAGTAACGTAAAGTTCAGGACACCAGGCTCCTATGGCCCATTGCGTACATATCAGCACACTCTACAACTCGCAGTACCTGTGCAAATTCAACTTTGTTGAACATCTGCAACCTCCCTATGACAGACATCGTTCCAAGACGATTGAAGCCAACTCAGGGTCCACATAGTTGATGGTCCCAGCCAATAGACCCTACTGAAGCAGTACCACTTTGTACTTGGGTGGTGCTGGGGCCTGAAGCTGAAGTTTCATGCGGGGTTCCAGGGTTTAGGGTGTCTAGGCCAGGACCACGATCGGTGATTATAGGGTTTAGGGCTCAGGCTCGGTTATGGCTTTACAGGAAGGGGTTGGTGTTATAATATTTGGATCAGTGGCACGAACTGTGTAGAACCTGAGCTGGAAGTTTCCTACATGCAGCCGAAAACACAATGGGATCTTTTGCCCAGGTGGGCTGCGTGCACACTTACACGGCTGTCTTGGCCTTGCCCTTGGTCTTTTTCGGCTTCTTTTTGGGGTTGGCTTCGTGCACTGGCTCATCCAAATCGCGCTTACCGGCTGGCTTCCCCGGCTTCTTCTTCAGCTTCCTTAGGGTCAGGATTGGACTTGGTTGTGGTTTGGAACGAACATGTTTTGTAGCGGCCATCAATCTAAGCAGCTTGTTCTTGATCTCCAAAGATGTCGCCATAATCATCCTGAGATTCAACAATTACATACAGTGTTGTTGTTTTCTGAGAGAAACGAAGTTCATGCATGTGTATGTTTAGATGCATCTAAGACTCTGCCGCTTGACCGCTTCGCACACTTTGGAGAACTCGTCCTGCTGCCTTGGGAAACGAACTAACATAAAATCTGTTTAGGGACTTTGGATTGCAGGTTTTGTGTTTCTGCATGGAAGCTAGTTTCATAGCCTAGCTGCAGACCTGTCAACTCCTGGACCTTTGCATCAGCTTGCAGTTTTGCAAGCTCATCATAGTGATTTCCAAGAGCCTTGATCACCGCCAGCATCTTGGGCATCTCCCTCAGATGACTTAGAGCAGTGTGTGACCCAAGCTACAAACCTGCGTTCTGTACATTACAAATCTAGCATAAAGGGTCAGGGCACGTAGCGACCGATGCATCGTCCTCATCCAGGCGCTCCATGAACTTGCTCAGCTTATCTCTCGAAGTGACGGCCTCGTTCATGTGTCGTTGAAGGCTGTCCTTTACCTCGGTAGCAGCTACATAAGACATTGAGGTATGAACTCTGCAGCCTCTGACACAAACACAGAATGACTGAACTCTGCCCACTATAAAGTTATGATCTAGGTGCTCTGTCTTTGCCTTCTTCAACACCTGTTGGTTCTGGATCATGATTCCAGCTCTTGTCCAGGTCTTCAGGCTTGCTGGAGTCTGCTAGGCTGTCAACCTTGCCCTTCGCACTCGTGGAGTCCCGAACACCCTCAATTTCATGCAAGCCCCTGGTTCCATGGGTCCTGATGTCGACCCAGTACTCCGGCTCTCCGTCGTACTTGTTGATCCTTTGTGGTGAAAGACGAAGCAAAGTCAATCATGTATCAGCACAGCCTCTGAGTTGTGTTAGATTGAAAGGCCAAGGCACCGCTTGAGGGCAGGGTTTGCCTCCGCCATCTCGATGATTCCTGCGATGCGTTTCCTTGGATCTTCGAAGGAAGTGGCAGCTATGGTTGCAATTGACACATGACAACTCATTCTGCTCAAATGGCCAGCAAGTTGCGCGGAAAACCCCAATCCTCCTTCACTCACCTTGAGAGCCATCTCTCTCTCTGAGTAGAATCCTCCGTCGGTCATCTGCTTGCGAAACTTTTGGGTTTCTTTGTAGACTTCCACTTTCCGAATGAAGTCGCCCTTAGCTGCCACGAGATAGCTGTGAGCCTTTGCAAGTTTGGTGTGTGTCAGTCGACCAGTGGATACATAATTTCTCTGTGCAGGCTTGTGTCTCTATCCCCATTCGCCTCTGCCATAAGGGAGACTAGGACGTCTCGAGATGTTCCAGCTTTTTTCCACATAGCATGGATATCGTCGCTGACACGTAGCTTCCCTGAGGCTGTGGGACCACAGAAACGATTCACCTTCGACCGCATCTTGTTCCAGTACTTGGCATCGTCCTCATCAGGTATGTCCTGGTTGGCATAGTAGCAGGCACAAGAGGTGTCGGGGACGGGGTTTGCTTCTGGCTCTTCAAAGTTTAGGGTTTAGGTTTTGGGGTTTAGGGAGTCTAACGTGTGTTTTGCCACCGGGGTCTCAGGTCTGTTTGCAACTAGGGTCTCGGATTTTGTGTATGGGTTTGGTCTTTCAGGCTCTTCCTAGAGAACCATTGAACATTTAATTGTGTGGGATTTAAGGATGATCTGTTTCAGCTTGAATGACACAAGAATACTACACAAGTATTTTCGTAGCACACAAGCGATAGCCTCCTGATGTGGAGCAGAAACAAAACAAAACCCCAACACAACTAAGACCCTGATATCTGAGTCGATCTGGGCAGACTCTGAGCCCTAGCACCCTGAAACACCTGCCTCAAACACCTATAGGAGCCCCCCCCATTATGCCCATTGCCTGCCACCCTGAAAGCCCAAGCCCTCCCTAAACTTGAGTCTCGAAAGCAACAAGAAACCCTACATCGAAAACACCAAGCCCAGAATCAACACCCGAAGTCCCAGACCCCAAGGCCCTAGACCCAAAGCTCCAACTTGTCGTATAGCTAAGCTAGCTGCTAGTTTTCTGACATGAGCTCTGCATGTGTGCTACAGTGCAACCCCCCACAAACCTTAACCCTTTATCCTCCACTCGAAAACCAGGCCTGGGGTGGCAGCGCTTGGATGGAGCCAGGCTGATCCTTCTTCACTGGGCTGGGATCCTTCTTCGATGGGCTGGGATCCTTCTTCGACGGGCTGGGATCCTTCTTCGATGGGCTAGGGTTCTTCTTCGAGGGGCTAGGGGTCTTGTTCTTGGCATTCGGAGAAGGTGTCTTGGTTGTCAAGCGACGTCGGGGAGTTCGGTTGCTGCGCTTGGCATCAGGGGTCTGGCAAAGATTAGGGGCAGAAGCTCCCCCACGAAGTTGCTCGATGAGCTTTGCTTGGCTCTGTAGGAGCTCAAGCAACTTCTCACGCTCATCCTTAGATAACAAAGATTACTTGATCAGCACAACCTAGCAGTCGACAGAGTCAGCTATAGTAGGTATAGTGCAACACAGTGGCGGTCTTGCCCCGCATTCGGATGCAGGGAGGAGACGTATTCTGACGTTTAATCTTCTGTGATTCTCGGAGTGGGCTCTCGTGAAGCTCTGGCTTGGCTTGAGCCTGCTCCACAGGTTCCTCGGGCTTCTGCTGGCCTGCGGAGCTGGGTCCCTGGCTATCCTGTAGCTTCTTCTTGAGGGCCTAAGTGACAACGAAATAAGTACAATTAAGGTACTTAACATGTAGAGTCTTTTTAGGGCTTGGGATCGAGGGGGTTATAGTCTGAGGGCACTTGATATGTAAGGCCAGGGCTGACATCGGTACATCACTGTCATCATCAGAGATCTCAACAAAACCACCATAGGGATCACGGCGTAGTGGTGAGTCCTGCAGGCAGGCAGGGTCTTTTATTCAGACCGCACATTACAGATACCGTGCTCAGCTGTGTCGTATATCCTTCGTAGGCTGGCGATTCGGCCTTGGGCTAGATGTTGAAGTTGATGTCGAGGGGGAGGTGTTGGTCCGCCCCATAGAATGCAACTCTTGGGTGCTTGCAGGAAGAGTATCTTGAGCTGGAGCCTCCACTGCAGGAGCCATCTCTGACTGCTGCAATTGATGTTCTAGCTCCTGAACACAGAAATGGTTTAGGTATCTGGGATCCTAAGGCTTAGAAGTTTAAGGTTGGGGTTTTAGATTCGGATCATCTGAGGCACTCGGAAGCTTAAGCTTAAGGGACCCTATACATTAGCGACCCAAGATGAAATCAAAGATCCTGGATCATCTGCTTGATTTCTGCATCCGATTGCGGGGGTTCCTGCTTAATCTTTGCCCAAGAAGAGTTAACTGCGTTAACACCTTCCAGCATGGAGGCTCCACTCCATGCTTTGCTGAGCAATACCTTCGCAAGCCTCACTGTGACAGGATCCATGGCGCCTGGCACCTACGGCAGGGGCCACAAGCACAGCCCAAAATCCTGGATCAAGGACACAATAGATCATTAAGCCTGGAAGAATTTGTGGATTTGGGATGTTTTGGTGGGGCCTTAGACACTAGGTTGCAGATATGGGTTTCAGGACACGTGCCCGTACGATTTTACACGCTTTTATACGTATTTCATACGCCTTTTGTACGGGTCCCGTACGGTCAGTGTTTGGGAAATACGGGCGTGCAGTTACTAGAAATACGGGCGTCTGTGGCTTTATACGGGCGTTCCTGGGGAAATACGGTCGAGATACGGTCGGGATACGGGTGCCATACGGAAAATACGGTCGAGATACGCGTCCCTAAGGTCCAAAACCTACCAAAACCTGCCAAAAACCTTCAAAACAGCCTCAGTAACCCGATAAATCTATGATAAGTTCACCCCAAAGCAACCAAAAACCCTTGACAGCCACAGTCTTGCACAGTCCTGAAGAACAAGTTAAGCCACTGGTATCTGAAGCAGCCCCACGAACTGAACAAATCCTCAGCCCTACCCAGTTTCTGTTCTAATCTTTGGACACTGTATGCATCCAGCGGTGAAACAGCCTGGATTCACCCTGTCGGAAGCCTCTCACACAAAACACCAGGGCTTCCCACTAGCTTACACAACCTGATTCAGACGATGTAGCTACTGTAAATGACAAACAACTAGACAGGCTTACTACTGTCTGATCTGAAGTGAATGTAGCTGCAACCACACCGAGGTCGCATGGCTACTTGTGATCGACTGATGATCCAGGCACAGACAACACTCAAACCACACACAGTGGAGCTTGCAAGGTTCCATAAGTTGGAATGAGATAGGCCTGAACTACCATTGGCTGTACACAGACCTGGTCATCAAAAGTCTCCTCTGATACGCAGCACAAGTATATCCTTTAGGGCCAGGGTAGTTGGTTCGGGGTGCACCAAAAAGTTATTCAATCATAATGGCCCATAAAACCTGTACATAACTATTGACAGTCCCAGTGTGTAGGAATAATCAAATTTTAAATAAAGTCCTACCCTGACACCATATATACTATATAGAGACCCTAAGACCCAAACGGTTTGGGATTTGGGATGAGCATCCAGGAGTGTTGGGACAGGACTGCTTCAGGGGCTAAGCTTTTGAGTTGCTGGGATTGAGAGTATCAAGCTTTGGGCAGGTTCATGGGTTTGTGCTATGGTGTACTGAAATCAAGATCAGTAGAGGTATGTAAGTGTTTATGGCTGGTAACTTACTTGGGGCTGTAAAGGACAGGAGAGGCTAGGGGTTAGGACTAGAGGTCAGGTTGCTGTTAAGTTTCTTAATGTTTGATGCCACAAGAAGTCGGGGCCAAGCACTTTGATGTAATTTTGATTGAAGGTAGTGTATTGTGTCTTTTCGTAAGGCAGAATGAAGGGTAGGTTGTGCTTTAGGGTTCCAGGTCTCGGGGTTCCAGCTCTTGTTTGTTTTAAAACTGGCTCTGAGAACCGTAGACTAAATCCAATCAAGGCATCTACTGTGCTGCACTAGAATGGCTGTACTTAGGAAGCAACGGTCGCCACCTCTCAGGCACCTTCAATCCTCGGCAACCATAGAGATAAACAGCGACCTCCTGAAGCTCCCCATCAGAGCACTCATCCTCGTAAGTTGCACTCCGAAACATCTCAAGAGCATCACCTTCACCCCGAATGGTGCATGGTGCCATGGTGGTCTTGAGAAACTTGAAGATCTCGAGCAGTCTCGCGCCCAGGCCAGCTGGATAGATCCTGAGGAAAGATTGGATGGGCTGGCTGGGATCAGCCCTGAGTGAAGCAGAATTGGGGGGGGGGGGGGGGGGT